AATAGAAACCTATAAACCTGTTAGGGTTTCAACAAGAGACAGCGACTCAGTTAATTTCGCAAAGATTTTTGACCCATTTCGGAATTATGTTGAATGAATATTGGGCCTTTTGGCATCCAAGTCTCTGGTTTACGGTTTAAATTGAGAAATAATGTACTCATAAAATGTTCCCTGTAGTCTGTATTCGAAAGTCAAGACGAGTTTTTCCAGGTTTGTAAGCTGCAGTTTGTGTCGGGTTAAGGTTAAAGCGACTTTAATTTTCTTCTTCGTACATATTTCTGCAGGGCCTTAGGCTCTGTTTCTCTATCACTTTCTGGATGGGTATTTGCCCAATAACAAAAATGAGGACGTTTTGTTTTGTATTATTGTACAAGGAAACAGGATGGGCTTTGTGCCCTGGTTAACATTACTGTAGTAACAGAATATTTATGACTCTATAAATATTGATGATTCAATTGTGCATTTTATTTTAAATAAAAATAGAATATTTATAAACGTTGTAATTTTAAAATTTTTTTATAAATATAAAGTTAATTACTTTAATAACAGACTATGTCAAAATATAAATAGAATCTTTAGGCATATTTTAATTTTTAGAAAAATTTTGTAAACTTAAAATTGATTATCATATTTATAACAATAAAAAATAACATTTATTAAAAAAGGCTAATTTGCTAAGAAGAGGGGTCATTAAAGATGCGACAGAAGCTAAGTGTGGCCTTTGTAATGAAGAAGAAGAGGATTCTACTCATTTGTTCTTGAACTGCAAAATTGCAAGATGGGTGTGGATGGCTTGCTCAAAATGGTGGGGGACCAACATCATAGTGAACAGGGATCGCAGGAATACTTTCCAACTCATTGGGAAGGGCACTAAAGGATCAAACATTAGAGAAGGCATGGATTGTATGTGGAAAATTGTTGTGTGGTCCGTGTGGATTGCTAGAAATCAGAAGATCTTCCACAATAAAGAGGACAAAGAGATAAATCTGGAGAAACTTTTCAAACTCATCCAAATGAAATCCTTCCTATGGATTAAAAAAAAAAAGGAAAGGTATGCCTTCAATTTGATGGATTGGCTAATTAATCCTGCTCAGTGTTTGAAAAGTACAGTGGGTTCATGAAGGTTGCATTGAGCAGAAGAAGAAACTGCAAAAGAGGGTGGAAATCCGTCACGGGTGGAGTGTCGACACATAATTTAGGTGTCGACACCAGTTGGCAGGCATTTAAAATCTCCAACACGGACGTGGTGTCGACACGTAATTCAAGGGTCGACATCATATGCTAAGCATTCAAAACTCCGACACGGACGTGGTGTTGACACTTAATTCAGGGGTCGACACCAAATAGAAAGACTAATCAACTCATGTATTATGAAACCTGTCTAGTTTTGTTGTTTATGGGTTTGAGGTACCCCCTTAACTCCGTTTATTAATAAATATTATACTTTGCTGTTCAAAAAAAAAAAACATTTATTAAAAAATAGAGTACAAGGATATCCAAATCTATAAACATCTCAGCTTGAAAAACAAAATTTAAAAGAGCTAAACAACCCTTCTTGATATATTAATACAAGAGCACCTCTAAATTGTTAAAAATTTCAACCTGCACTTTGTCTGCACTTTGTCGACACAGATAGGAAACAGAAATTGGGAGATGCTTACCGTATGGTGTCGACACCACACCCGTGTCGGGCTTCTATCCTCTTTTGCAAGTTCTTCAATTGTAAAATAGCACATTTGGTCCTTCATATTTTGTATAATGAGCATTTAGATCCAAAAACTCAAGATTCATTCATTTAGGTCCACAAGATAACACCTCTTTCTTGCAATTTAGTCCCTAAATTTTTAAAATATGTTCATTTAAACCCAAAACTCTTATTCTTATGCATTCACATCCTTTTCTTTTCTACCACCTTGGATAGACTTCAAAGTTCAAACACACCACAGGGTTTTGCATCCAATCCAAGTTGGAAAACGTACAGCCAGCAACCCTTCCTCTAATCCAGAAAAATGTCCCTATCTGAATAAGGTCAAAAAGCCTTTCCACAGTGACTTCTTCTTATCTGAAAATTTTTCCTTTTCTTGCTAGCCATACAGTCCATGTGAGGCCAAACCAAATAACTTCCTAGCCCTGTCTAACCTATTTATTTTTTGAGATGAAGACATGATGTAGAAAAGCCTCTTTGCACTCATTATGAACCACGCAGCTCACTCCCCACCAATTTAGACATTTGCACCACAATTTTGAAACAAATGAGCACTCCAAGAACAAATGATTTGAATCTTCAAGTGCAACCCCACAAAAACCACATAAGGCTATTGAGTCATCCTTTAGAATGCCTCTTCTCTGCAAATTTGTTTTAGTTGGAACCCTGTTTAGCAGTAACATCTAGTTAAATTTGATTATCTTAATAATGACTATGTTAATTACTCATAATGGCCTACTTCTTTCAAATAAACCTAATATTACAAACTACCATATCCTTGACCAAGCCATACTTCATATGCCTGAAAAAAAAAAAAATTATAAAAATTAAAAAAAGGGTGTAGGAAGATTAAAATGGTAAAATTTTAAAAAAATTTAAATATTAGCTGTGCTCATTATCCCTCGTCATAGGGGAAGGCTACTGAAAGAACCTCATCCTTCATGAAAATCTTGCAAATTCTGTCTTCAAAAACTAACGGCTTCTTCATCAAATTTGAGAAGAAATTGACAACTTGGTCAATTCGAAAAGTGAATTTATGCAGTCTTCTCCCAAAGTACCCTCTAAGCCATTTTTTTTAGAGAAATATAAAGCATATTTAAAGTAAAAACTTTTGATTGGCAGTCCTTTCAATCTTTACAATGTGAAGTTTTGACTTTCTTTTTGGTATGGATTCGCGGGCCTCTTTGCACCGCAACTGATTAATTACAAATGGTAAAAGGAAAGACAATATGATATATTAAGCTACAACTTAAGGTATCATGTTAACTAAAATGTGATGGTAAGTATTCTGTACATGGACTTGCTTTCATAAATCAAACTGTAAAATTGTAAACTGACATTAAAAACTAAAAATTAAAATCAACTAAGACGCAAAGGAGTAAAATAT